TGATTAAAATACTCACATCTCCTTTTTTAAAATAATTTATTTTTGTTTTGTTGTTGCTGTTGAGAATACACACAGAGAACATACGCAATGCAACAGCTTCTCCATGTAGAATTCAGTGACACTGACTGCATTCTTCAAGTTGGGCAACCATTCTCACCCTCCTTTTCCAAGCTGTTCCTCCCCCATTAACAAAAACTCACTGCCCTCTAAGCTTCCTACCCACTGTTTCGAGTTGTTGTTGTCAAGTTGATCCTAGACAGTATTTTAAAAGAGCACAATGTCCACAGCAGACGTTTTTTATTAGTTAAGCTATTGTTTGGTTTAAAGAAGACTTCAGAGGATAACTTGGGTTAAGATTTCGGGATTACCTCAGGGTAAATTTCAGGGGTTCATCCAGAAAGTCTGGATTCCATGAGAATACTCGTTTCTCCTTTTTGACCAGGGGACTTATTTTAATCCCGATCTTGCGCTGAAAGGGCATTATACTTAACAAATGTCAGAACCCAAACCCCACAGATATCAGATCTACACTTCTCGTTCTCTTGGAAATGTCATTTTCATTATCCCTGTACCAATCCCTGACCCAACTCTTGTTGGCGCTGACGACACGGACACAAAAGTAAGTCAGCTGAAAAAACTCGGAGCCAAATTTGGAAAAGCTTCCTCCCAGAACTCTCTCTCCATACTTTAAAGTGACTGCGCCAAAAGCTATCTGTCCTTGCGAAAATAATTTCAATTAACCCATCTCTGTTTTAATGACTTCATTCTCAAGAACCCTCTTAGCTAGAGTCAAATAACAATGCTCACGCGTAAGAAGACAAAGAGAAGTAAGATTGCAATTTAAAATAAGCACTTGCTGTGGTTAGGTGCCATCTAGTCGATTTCAACCCACAGCAACCCCATGTGACAGAGTATAACTGTCCCATAGGATTTTTGTGCTGTACTCTTTACAGAAGCAGATCACGAGGTCCTTCTTCCACGGAGCCACTGGGTGGATTCAAACCACCCACCTTATCGGTTAGCAGCCTCTTAACCACTGAGCCACCAAGGATCCTTCACTACATTCTAATAAATCTTAATTCCCCAACACCAGCCCAGATTTCTAATCCTCACAAACCCACATGAACCAAATCCACATACAGTCAAAGGTCAATGTCCAAATGTCCCAAACTATAATCATCTCCCCTCGCTCCTCGAGCCTACTCACACTCCAGGCTCCCCACTTCAGTTGGTTCTACCACCATTCAACCAGTCATCCAAGCCCAAACATGGGAATCAGTCTCAAGTCTTCCTTCCCCCTTACCATCTCCTGCCACATCCCCACTCCACCCACATGACTGTTAAGTGTGGCCAGTGTTACTTCCAATCATCACCAACTTCCACTCCCTCCTCTCGAGCCCCTTGTCTTAATTCAGGTCTTTATTATCTCTTAGGTGGATTTCTGTTACTGAAATAACCTCCTAACTGGTTTCCTGGCCTCCAAATCTTTTTCCCCTCGCCCCACACCAAGTACTTCTCAGTGTCTTTATTTACCTTGGTCAAATTGTGCCAACTTTATCCTATCTGGGATCACCTTTCCCATCACCAACAGTAACAAGTATCTACTATCTAGAAAGTGATTCCCCCTCCCTCTCCCCTCCATCCCTGGCAACCATCAAAAAACTTAGCTTTCTGTGTGTGTATCTGTTCTAGACTTTTTATAATAGTAAGACCATGCTATATTTGTCTTTTTGTGATTGATTTATTTGACTCAGCACAATGTCCTCCAGATTCATCCATGTTATGCTTCATGGGCTCCTCACTCTTTATAGTTACGTAGTATTCCACTGTATGTATGTACCACAGATTTGTTTATCCATTCATCCTTTGATGGGTGCTTAGTTTCCATCTTTGTGCTACTGTAAACAATGCTGCAATGAACACAGGTGTGCATGTCTATTTCTATCACTGCTCTTACATTGCTACTATATATATATATATACCTAGGAGTAGGACTGCTGGATCATAAGGTATTTCTATTTCTAGCTTTTTCAGGAAGCACCATGCTGTTTTCCATAGTGATTGTACCGTTTTCCAATCCCACCAGCAATGTACAAGAGTTCTAATCTCCTCACAACCTCACTTGTTGTTTTCTGATTCTTTGATCAGTGCCATTTTTGCAGGGGTGAGATGGTATCTCATTGTAGTTTTGACTTGCATTTCTTTAATGGTTACTGACCTCAAGCATTTTTTCCTGTATTTTTTGGCCGCATTAATGTCCTTTTTGCTGAAGTGTCTGTTCATGTCCTTTGCCCATTTTTTGATTGGACTGCTTGTCTTTTTTGTTGCTGAGTTGTTGAAGTTTTCTATACATTTTAGAGATTAATTATCGGAAATGTCATTGCTGAAGATTTATTTCCCAGTCTGCACGATCTCTTTTTACTCTTTTGGTAGTAAAGGTAGTAAAGTCTTTTGGTGGGCGTAAGTATTTCATTTTTGGGAGGTCCCAGTTATCTAATGTATCTTCTGTCATTTGTGCATTTTTAGTTTTGTTTGATAGACTATTTATGCTGAAATTTAGGTCCCCTAGTTTCACCCCTATGTTATCTTCCAGAAATTTCAGTTTTAGCTGTCACATTTAGGTCTTTGATCCATTTTGAGTTAGTTTTTGTGCATGGTGTGAGGTATGGATCCGGATTCATTTTTCTGCATATGGATATCCAGTTTTGCCATCTTTTTTTTAAATAAATGATTGCAGATGTTTTAAATACACAGATCATAAATAAACAACAACAAATCACATAATCCCACCACCCCGATAAACCCTACTGCCTTTTTCAAACAACAAAATTAATGCGTATGTATCAGCTGTTGTCAAGTCGATTCTGACTCATGGCAATCCTATGCATGTCAGAGTAGAACTGTGCTCCCGAAGGTTTTCAATGGCCGATTTTTTAGAAGTAGATCTCCAGGCCTTTCTTCCAAGGTGCCTCTGGGTGGACACAAACCTTTTGGTTAGCAGTGGAGCCCATTAACTGTTTACACCACCCAGGGACTCCAACGCACGTATGAACGTGGTTAAATACTTCAAATACCATCAGAAGAAACCAAACGACAATAAAAAGCTTCTCTCCTAACACCCATACTTCTTGCAAAAGGTAACCATTCTTAGCAGTATTTTATGTTTAATAAAATTTTAATTTTAGAACAGTTTTAGAGTTACAGAAAAGTAGAAATGTAGTGCAGAAAGTTCCCGTCCATCCTCTACCCAGTCTTCCCTATTAGTAACATTTAACGTTAGTAAGGTACAACTGTTACGATTAATATTGATGCCTTATTTTTTTAATAATATTTTGTTGTGTTTTTGGTGAAGGTTTACACAGCAGTTTAGGTTCCCGATCAACAAGGTCTACACCAATTGTTTAGTGACACTGGTTACTGATACACTATTATCAACCACAGTTTGTTCAGTTTATTCAGATTTCCTTGGTTTCCATCTGATGTCCTCCTTCCACTCCACAGTGTCATCCAGGAAATCATATTTACATTTCCTTGTCATGTCTCCCCAGACTCCTCTCAGCTACAACAGTTTCTGAGACTTGAAAACGTTGACAGTCTTCAGAGCTTGTTATTTTAGAGCTTATCCTTCCATTTCCGTTTATCTGCGGTTTTGTCGTAATTAGACAGAGGTAACAGGCTTTTCCTGTGGAAGACCACAGAGGTGAGCCGCAGTTCTCATCACATCAGACTGAGGTTACATGCTATCAGCAGGACTGTTGAGGTTGACCTTCATCTCCTGACTGAGGTGTATCTGTCACGTCTCTCCACTGGAGAGTTATTTGCTCCCCTTCCCACACTGTACTCTTGGGAAGGAAGTCACCATGCGCCAGCTCCACTTAACGAGCAGGAGTTATGCTCTCCTCCCAGAGGGTGGAATATCCAGAGAAATGACTTGAATTCTTCTCAACATTAAGATTTGTCTATCCTCCCCCACTTACATATTTATTCAATCATATATTTATATCAGTATGGATTCGTGGACATACATTGTATACTTTGGGTTACAGTCCAATACTACTTTATTTATCGTTTGCTCAAAGTATTCCAGCTGTGGCCGCGGAGCTCTTTCAGGGGCTCCTGCGTCCCTCTGACACACCCCACTGCTGTTTTGTTTTGTGCTTTGACCACTTCCTTACCTCTGGCTCATCTTGTACTTTCCCTGCCCCGGGCCTAGAACCAGCCATTTCTCCAAGAAACGCTGATTCCTGTCATTGGGAAACAATGTTAGAAACCAGGATCTGGGCACTGGGTGGCAGTTTCTTTATAAAAGATCTTATTAAACATCTGACTGTACGTTTTGGGGTTTTTTTGTTTGTTTGTTTTAAGAGAGCTCTCTGTATCTACACATATAGACTGACCTTATCACGTTAAACCAGAGGCCAACCTTCACCTCCTGCTAGCAGACCTTCTACCGCTGCGAGAGGGGCCATACGCCTGTATCACACAGGAGGACTGTCATGTGCCCGGCCCTGTGCCAAGCTGTCTACACAGACCGTCTCTTCTACTCCTCCAGTGGCACAGCCTATCATCATCCCAACCACGCCACACACGAGGAAACTGGGCCTGACCATCACCGTCACCTGCCCAGGTCACTCCGGTGCACACAGGCAGCACTCACACCTGTATGAGGGACAGCCAAGTCCACGCCCCCACTCAGTCCAGCCCTGAAGGCACTCACCCCCTCACAATCTGCCTCTGGCTCCCGTCACCTACAACAGGAGTCCCAAAGGCCAATTAGAGGCCTGTGACATTTTTCGGATCACCTACACCAGTCTGCAACAAACTGAGAAAAATAAGGAAAAACTTGTGAATTTCTTTTTTTTTTTTCCCCTTCCATAAGACCTTTATTGGTGTAGGGGGATAAGGGGCATCATGGCGGGAGTCCTCAGCCTAGGGGCTCTGACATTTCAGTGTGGAGCAGGGACTGGCCATAGAAGAGAGGCAGACAGCCCTCCCGGTGTTCAGGAGAAGGCAGTTTTGAGTTTCTCCTTCATTTTGTTGAACCAGCTGCGGGTCTTAGCATAAATGTCACTCTGTTTGATTCTGTCAATGGCTGCCTTGGCCTTGTCTTCCAGGGTATTTCCAAACTCCTTCAGCTTGTCTGGGATGCGCTCCAAGGTGCAAGAGAAGTCAGGGACCGCCTGGGCTGGGGCTGGGCCTTCTAAAACTATCAACAGAACCACCACTACCAGGACCGGGAGCGACAGGAGGAGTCTCATGGCGTGCCAGGAGGGGACTCTGGATCCGACGTAAGACTGCAGGTTGTGAATTTCTAATAGAGCTAAATTTATTTCATTTAAAGGACTATCCCCTTATTCTGAAATTAAATCTTTCTTATGATTTTATTGGTATTAATGCCCTTTGTTTATGAAATGGTGATGATCTCATTCCTTTCGAGAAAGCTTATACTTACAATACGCCTTGTAACTGTAATCTGGGTTATCTTGTTTTTTCTTGTATTTGGTAAAATTAAAGCTGACCATCCTGGATCAATTTCCTCAACACCCATTTTTAAAATTTAACCCTCTGAGAAGGAAACAGGCTGCACATACAAAACCCCCAGCTTCTTTGCACCACAAGGAAGGTCCTGTCCGTCTTCCCTTGCACTCTCCCATCCACACCACCAAACTGCTTTGAAAAACAAAGTCACCACGTCTATATTATAATTTCCTGACCTTTTCCTCCAACCCATCCACCTGGCAAACTCTTACTGAAAGCATCACATTTTCAAAGGGACTAAAACCTGGTTATGAAGTGCTCGTGCATGTTTTCATATCATCTTTCCGAATGCTTTCATTTTTTAATTATTTTCTAAGGTAGCTATTGAAAACGGCACAATTTTGGAATCAAAGCAGCAAACAAACTCCAGGTTTTATCACAACCGTGACTAGGTAGCACCGATGGCTTCTTAGCTTGGCCAGATGGCCTGCTGGAAGGAGGACCGGGTTCTGCCCGCTGGCCCATCACTAACCCAGTTACAGAAAACCTGAACCCCTCCTACTCCTGATGGGTTGTTCTGAGGATCCTAAAACAAAAAGAAGTGGAAAACGTGAGGGAGAAAGTGCTCTGAACACACCGCACACAGACGGTATGTAGACTCGCTGGGACCGTACTTTGCGGGCTGTCGGGTTCCTTTTATTAACCATGGTTTCACACAGGCGGAGGTTCAAACATGCCACCGCTACAGGAACTCACTTTCAGTCCTTGCTTCCTGCCACATCTGCGGCTACTTAGGGTAAAAGTTAGCAAGCCTTCTAGCATGCATTTCAGGTAACAGTGACTAAGGAGGTAGGCGGTGTGAAAGGAATTATCAAGCAAAAGAACGATTTTTCTTTTAAACTCAGATCCACAGTGGCCTTCTCTGTGGCCTTTAATGTAAAAGAGTCGACTCCTGTAATTATTTTCCCTGTTGTTTAAAAACCGCACTAAAACGCGACAACTGAAGACAAATGCTGTTTACAAGTGACGCACTTTCCAATCCTCCCTCCAGTGAAAGCACCTGAAGAGGGGTCAGTTCAGAACATGAATTATTGAACAATCTTGCCCACGTATTGACTACCTACAGCTCCTTAACCTACAAACAGAATCCTGTAATGATGTCTGAAATAAAAGTACTGTATAGTACTTTAAATTCTCAATTTTAAAACATAACAAGCAGAAATGTAGCATCTTCCAACATGGCCATTTTCATCCAAACTAAACCAAATTTAGTTTAGGAAGATGGATACAACCACCTAAACACTCCCCTATCAAATAAACACAGAACAAACTTGCTGGAAGTGTGCCAATCCCCCCGCAGGCGGAGGCAAATGAACACTTGTTAGTGTGCACAGCCTTACTTTGTGTATTGCCTGTTTCAGCTGAAAGGTTTGTAAACAGCCTTCAGAGACAACAAATTTAATCATTAAAAGCCTGCCGGGACAAACATCCCATCTGAAAGCAAGGCAGTCACACGCGTTACATCGACTGCACCCTTCCTTCAGACGCAAACCTTGTGCACACGGAGTTCTTTCAAAATTACTTTGGTGCCAAAACCTGCGGAGAGCCTCGGTGGAAAGATGAAACCATCCCTGAAGGCTAATCAATAAGGTTTTTAGTAAACAACACCTCTCTGTGGTTTTTTCTCCCACTTTTGCATTTTAGAAATTTTAGAAATTTGCATTAGAAATGCAAATCTATAAAAGGGAGGAAAAAATGTTAAATGCTGATTCTCCAGGCAGCAGCAGCACCCTTGCACCGCTGGGGTTTATTTGTGCTTTTCCTCTGAACGCGAGGGGAAATCTTAAAGACATTTCTAGCCAACAGAGTCCTTTCAAGACAGCTTATATTTACAATATGCCTTGTAATTGTAAATCAGATTCGTTCTCATGACCTACATACTATGAGCACAGGACAGCAGGAAACAATTAGAAGCACATAAAATAAATAGAGGCTGATGGAAGTGTCTCACTGTTCCGACTGCCTCTCTCCCAGCCCTTGAGGTTGTTAACAATATACCTGCAGCTTTCACAATTTTTCCTGCCTAAATACAAATAATACGTACAGCAATTATACATCTAAGTTTCATCCATAATTTTCAGTCATCAGAGTGATTAAAAGTATTTTAAATATTTTCCTGCTCAAATGACAGTAATGGTGAACATTTTTCAGAATACATTAAATAGCCTACCTTTTCCAAGAGTCAGGATCGGTGGTGATCTTGGCACCAAATAACAACACCGCTCTGAAAGCTATACCTAGTCACAGCCACCGAAGCATCGGCAACTCTCCACCCACGCAACTTCTTCAGTGGGACCCAGCACCACTGATAACCCCCACCACATTCCAAAATAAAAGCCGAGACTAAATATAACACTGATCTTTAAGAAGAGGGGTTGAACCTTCTCCGAACATCTTTACTCAAGTTAAGAGAGCTTTCTTTAAAACTGGCATTAAAAAAAAAATGTTTTTAACCAACTGATTTCCCTATCAAGAAATAGGAAAGAGAAATATCCCTATTATATACCTCGAATTAGGTTAATATCAGAGAACAGCCTTATTTGCACATGGAAGGTAAAGTAAGCTGTCAGCTGCAGCTTAAGCTCCCCAAGCTGGTATGGAAAACAACCTCTTCCTCCAGGCCATCTTAGGTGATGTCCTTGGCAAAGCACGGCACAGCATAGCTGCCAGCCTTGCTGTGTATTACCTGTAACTCTAACACCTTCCTGAGACACTGAACCCGCATCCCCAATCCTGTAATGAACACAGTCTACTAAATCAGGGCACGGGTGGGGTGAGGGAATACGTTTATTCACAGTCATTATTTTTAAAGACTACTAATGGAGAACAGTGGCTTGGCTTCTTAATAAAAGAAAAGAGAATCCTATTGACTTTTAAATGATTCTTTGGTCCCAGTTGCTCTATCGACAGTTTCGATCTTACCTAATAAATGATTCACGCCTGGCCTATTTGTTTTCACCTGCCCACGTAGTTCTCATTTGCAGTAACTCAGAAATAAGATCAGTAACATTTTTCAAATTATAAAAATGTATTTTAGTATAAAAACATAAGGCAGGATGCATTGGGAGCAAAATTATATAACAGGTACATTCAAGTGTGGTCTTCTTATGTGCCTTTGAGTTGATTCCGATTCACAGCAACCCTACCGAACACAGAAGAAGTGCCCCACAGGGTTTCCCAGGCTGAAATCTTTACAGAAGCAGATGGCCAGGTCTCCTCCCCAGTGGGGTTCGAACTGCAGACCTTTCAGTTAGCAGCCAAGCGCTTAACCACAAGGGCTCCTTCATTAAAGTATAAAGGCCAATAATTTTTTGACTATCTTGTTATCTAGTTTACAGTTTTGTCGGCAAATAAATATTTTGGCTTTTTCTTTAGTTACAGATTTATTATTAAATTTTCATGGATTTAACCAACAAGACACGTTCTTTCCTCGTAAACATGTTAACTTTGCTTAAAAACGCAAAAGCATGTGTATTTTTAACCCGAATTAATGTCCATGGGGCTCACTTCAATCAAATCCAATTAAAGATCATTAAGTCATGGCAAATAAAGGATGCTGATTAGTCTGTAATTACTGGCTCTTTCAAGCTGAAAATCCACTTCTCCCAGGAGCACAAGCACATCTGCACAATTAAAAAACTTACATAGAAAATAATTTGCTTTTTGAAACCCATGGTACGAAAAACTGTTATTTTTGCTTCAAGGGACTTGTTAATTACATGGAGATGGGGAAAAAAAGAAATATCTACAAAACAACATAATTTTAACTCCTATATTCTAGCCATCCAAAGCTGAAAGGCCTTTGGGTATCCCAGCAACAAGAAGGAATCATACAAAGATGAAAGGCTCTGTTATAGACAGAAAGTCGGCTTCAAATTACTACTTAGCTCCAGAGACCAATGGAGCAGAACTGAAAACCCAGAAAGAAATCCAAGCATCTATGGTCAACTGATCTTCAACAAGGGTGCCAAATCCATTCAATGGGGAAGGAACAGTCTCTTCCACAAACGGTGCTGGCAAACCTGGATTTCTACTTGCAGAAAAAAATGACATAAGATCCACATCCGAAGCCATACACAAAAACAAATTCAAAATGGATCAAGGACCTAAATGTTAAATGTAAAACCATAAAAGTTCTTGGAAGAAAATACAGGAGCAAAGCACAGGAACCTAATTTTTTTCAGTGATAGATTATCAAACACAACAACGAATGCGTGAGCAACAAAAAATAAAATAGATAACTGGGACCTCATTAAAGTTAAATACTTACATTTATCAAAAGAGTAAAGAGACAACCTACAGACTAGGAAAAATCTTTGGGAACAATATAACCGATAAGGGTCTAATATCTAAAATATATAGAAAACTTCTACAGCTTAACAGCAAAAAGACAAATAGCTCAATCAAAAACTGGGCAAAGGACATGAACAGACACATCACTAAAGAGGATACTCAAATGGCCAACAGGCACGTGCACAGATGCTCAATGTCATTAGCCACCAGAGAAATGCAAATCAAAGCCTCAGAAGATACCATTTCACTCCTACTAGAATACCTCAGATAAAAAAATTAAAGAGAAAATAACAAATGTTGGTAAGGATGTGGGGAAATTGGAACTCTCACCCATTGCTGTTGGGGATGTAAAATGGTACAGCCATTGTAGAAAACAGTCTGGAGGATCCTCAAAAAACTAAAGGGAGAGCTGCCATATGACCCAGCAACTCCACTCCTAGGTATATACCCTAGGGGTCTAATAGAAGTGACATGAACAGACACATGGAAACTTATGTTCTCTGCAGCATTATTCACAACAGCACAAAGACGGAAACAACCTAAGTGCCCATCAACAGATGAATGGATAGGCAAAATGTGGTACACATACACAATGGAATACTACTCAGTGATAAAGAAAAATGAGTTCCCAAAACATCTTGCAACATGGTTGAACCTGGAGGACATTATGTTGACCAAAACAAGACAATAACAAAAAAAACAAACACTGTATATTCTCACTTTTATAAAATGACACGAATAGGTAAATATACAGAAACTAATGTTCATTAGTGGTAACCAGGGATTGGCGGGGGGGGGGGGGGGGACTGACTCACTAGATAGTAGATACTTGTTTTTCTGGTGATGGGAAAGGGAACATCAATGAGGGTGAAGTGTGCACAGTCTCACCAAGGTAAACGATGTCACAAGAAAAAAGGACCTTTGGCTAACTGCTATGGCATACATAATTCTGCAACAACAACCAAAAAATAAATCTGCGGGCATACGTGTACATGTGTAGGCATGTATGTGTATAGGTATGTATATATGTGTGTACATACCAGTGTATGCACATGTATATGTACATGCATTGTATGTGTGTGTATGCATATATATTCATATATATAATAAAGCACACAGGGGACACAATTACAAATACTTCTTAGAACCAAGCACCTAGCAGGACTGGTTTTCTGCGTTTGAAGGATTAGGACCACAGACTCATGGAACATTTTTGTCAATTGGCATAATATACTACATAAAGTTACATTCTACATCCTAGTTTGGTGAGTAGTGCCTGGGGTCTTAAAAGTTTACGAGCGGTCATCCAAGATAAAACTACTGGTCCCTACTCATCCAGAGCAAAAGAGAAAGAAGGAAACCAAAGACTCAAAGAGGAAACTAGTCTGACAGGATTAACAGTCTACATGAACGTCATCTACCCTGAGACCAGAAGAACTAGATGGTGCCCAGCTACCATTACCAGCCACTCTGATCAGGGCAACAATAGATGGATCCTGAGAGAATGGGTAAAAAACGTGCAATGGAACCTAAAATTCTTTTAAAAAAATCCAGACTTACTGGACTAGTTGAGACTGTTGCACTCCCTGAGTCTACTGCCCTGAGATACTCTTTAACCTCTGAATGGGACTAGCCCCTGAGATCACCTTGTAGCTAAATAACAAATCGGCTCACAAAATAAAGAACATCACCCGTGAGTGATGTGCTCCTTTCACCAAAAATCATCTATATGACACTAAACAACCAATAATTACTTTAAAAGAAAGATGAGAAGGTAAGGGGCAGGGAAACTAAATTAATGAAGATGAAACCACCAGAATGGAAATAATGAGAATTTTCATGCATTGTAAAGAATGTAACCAATGTCACTGAACAATTTGTGTATAAATTGTTAAATGGGAACCTAAACTGCTATGTAAACCTTCACCAAAAACACAATAATTTTTTTTTTTTAATTACTACTTAGCTGCTTTTTCACTGCTGTTTTAGTGATAATTTTATTACACTTTCAAAAATTTAGTCCATGGGTTTTATACAAATAAAATCAATTAAACATCTTAGAACACCATAATCTTGACTATGTCAAAAAACACAACCCAGGATGAAACCTATTTTTTTAAAGCATTGCCCTTATGATATTAACATTTTTTTAAAAAATTCAGCTCAAAATCCAGAGCTTTTATTTCTTACTTAAAAGAGCATTACTTTAAAGAAAACATACATTAAACTTCAAGTGCATACCCCAAAATACCTAAAGCTCTGAAAAAACACAAGTATAACAGTTATTCCCAAGTGATCCTCTCTTTATTTAGGAAATACTCCTAAGATGGTACAGCAGGAGGAGAAACCTACCATTCTGAGCACCAGTATGTCTCAGGCACTGTGCTAAGAGTTTCACATACAGTCTCATTCCCTCTGACAACATCTCTGCATGATACGCTCCGTTTTACAGACGAGCAAACTGTGGCTCAGAAGTGGCAGGGCTAGAGTGGGAAAGCCGACCAGAGAAGCCTTCACTGAGGTTCCGAAGTTCTCGCTGACACTGTCTGCGCTTTCCCTGTGTGGGAAAATGGGCATCCTCACTCCAAAATCAACAACTCTAACCACTTCTGTCAAACACGGTCACCACTCATTCAACGGACCCCTTGTCGAGTCCTTTGGTTGAGGACTGGCTGCTGAATTTTCACAAGTGGGAATCTGAAATACAGGTCACTTAGTAGACACCTTCTCGGGCAACCTAGGAAGCACCTCGGTGAACAGAGTGCTCATCAAACCTAACAGCCTCCAGCTGATCAGAGCCTCGGCCCCAGAGGCTGGATGTGAGACACACGTGGCCATTCTACCCTTGTGTTATTTTTATTTAGTTTTTCCTCAGCTCCATCTCACATGCCAGACTACAGAATCCAGTTACTAAATAAGACCTCATGGGAAAAGTAGAGACAAAAAAGAATCCAGCCACCTGAGTTACAAAGTGTCCATATGTGTGCTCACGATTACTACAAGACAAAGAGGAAAACCGTTTGATTTCTGCCAAACGAGCTAACCAGAAAGGACCCACTTGGACCAAGAGCAGAGGACAGACTGTGACATGTCCTAGAACTTGCAAACATAGACACACCGTCCCCTCTACTCAGGGGACTGAGTCCAATGCAGAAGATGGACATTCGCCAAATAATCACCAAACACAGAAACACAACCGTGGTGAATTCTGAAGCAGCAGAGTAGGGGATGCTTGGAAGCATCCAACAGAAAACTGGACACAATTTGAGAAGTTCAAGGAGCACTGAGCTGGGTTAACATGTGAAAGAAGTGTAGGAGTTAACTAAGAAAGAGAAGTAAAGAAATATCCTGTGCCAAGATCAAAAAGGGAGAGGTGGTAAACGGTGGGGAAAAAGGAGCGAGGACGCTGAGGTTAGCTTCAGGGGTGGGGCAGAGGCTGAGATGAGGCTAGACAGAGTCAGGGCTGTGGAGGCTGTAGGGCCAGAGAGAGCCTGGTCGCCGCAGCCTGTGTGAAGAATGTTGTGCTTATCTTGAGAGCAATAAACGGAAGTCATAAAAGGACTTTTTTGTTTTTAAACACGTGTGATAAGGGCAGGAGATAGAATACGGCTCTAAGATGGAGATGTTCCCAAAGACCCTTAGTCAACATTCCCTTCAGGGGACTGAAGCCCCCCACTGCCTGCACCACACACACCATATCACTACTGTGGTGATGTTAGTTTTTTTCCTTTCTTTTGGTAAACAAATGGGAGTCATAAATTGTACCTGTCATCTTCTATCCTTAACAGATGACAATGACTTCTGTATGGAGCTTTCAGGAAGTTGATGCTTGCCAACTTCCTCTGAAGAATATATCTGTCTGCAACTGATGCTTATTTTCTATCTTAATGTTTCTACTAAAAATTTTAGAATAGGACATGCCCATTTCTTGAACCTGAGTCAAATGAGGTCATCAGTTATAAATGTCTGTCATTATGGTCCATCATTTCTGCCCCAAGGGAAGTAATACAGAGGCACAAAAAAATTAGAGAAATTTGAACTCTGTATATTTGATACTAAGAAATTTGTAAGGCAGTAATGTATCATGGTTATGTTTAAATAAAGAGTGCTTATCTTTTAGAGATACATACTGAAATACTTGGAAATGAAATGATATAATATGTGGGATAGAGACAAAAAGACATTGGCTATATGCTGATGCTTGTCGAAGGTGGGTGATGGACACGTGGGGGTTCATTATCCTAGTCTATCTACTTTCATATGTATTTGAAATTTTCCATACTAAAGAATGTACAAGAGGGGGTGTCAGGACACCGCCTTGCTTTGAAGCAAACACCCAAGTAAGCTACAGAGTTTGGCTATGAGCTGTGTCCACACCCAGAAAGCAGAGGTTCAACCGCTCAGGCCTCTGAGAGATGACAACCTCACAGTCGAAAGTTGAACGACAGCGTGGGTAAAACTGAACGTGCTCTAACACTGTCCTGGGTGAAGCAAACAAGGGGGCAGTGGCAAGTCTTTTCCTGAGTCCCAGTCTCTGTCACCTCAGGGTAGTTTTCGTCCAGAGAAGGAGGTCAGTCCTCAGTTTGGTAAAGTTCTAAAACAGAAGAGCAGAGTGGAGGGGCAAGAATGGAGGTCGTGAGAAAACTCCGCCAGGTCATCTGAACAGTCCAGGCAGAGAATGACTGTAGACTGGATGAGACAGCTGGAGATGGGGAGAAGAGAGCAGGTTCAGGAAAAGCCGAGGAGTTAAAATCCACAGGAATAAATGACAATATTTACGGGACGTGAGGAAGACGAGGTATCAAAGATGACTCCTAAGCTTTAGTTTACGCGCTGGGGTTGGTAAAGGACCCAGGAAGCACAGCAAAGATCCAGGATGGGGTTACGTTGAACTGTTCTGTGTTTTGTCTTTCAGCATGAAACAGAGCAGAAATCTGGTTTGAGATGCATGTCTCAAACACAAAAGGAAATGTTGGGCAGTACAACTCTGAGGCAAGATTGGTACACGAGATGAACACTGAAGAAAAGAGTTCATATCGGGGCTGTGATGGTTGCTTTTATGGGTCAACTTGGCTAGGCTACAGGGCCCAGCTGTCCGGTCGAACACTAGTCTAGTTATTCGTGTGGACTACCAGTAGTTAAGGGTGATCACAGTGGTTGGCCTTAAGGGAAGCAAATTACCTTCCATAACGGGGGTGGGCCTCAACCAGTCAGTCGAGGGTCTTAAGAGCAAAAAGGGTGTGTTCTGTCTCCAAACTACAGGCATTTTGCCAGAACTCCTTTACTCTTCTTGTTGCCTGACCTACGGATTTGGGGCTTGCCAAGAAATAGAGAAAAGGACGATTACTTCAAATCATGGTAGGTACAAAGCAGAGTACGACACTAAAGTCCTGCATTCTGGTACCTGCTTTGCCCTGTGTACCAAGTCACTTTGGGTAAAAGATCAAACTATCTTTTTTTCTAATTGTAGTAAAAATAAAAACATTTCCTATTTTAGCATTTTTTACAGGTACAATTCAGTGACATTAATTACATGCATCCTGTTGACTCAAAGTTTTTTATAACCTCAAGACATTCAAAATTTGAAGGCTATACCACGATCTAAGATTACTATCTTAAAGTAGCTATGATGCAATGAGGTAATGAGAGTTAGAAACAGTGCTTGCTGGCAACTGCCTTCTAATGCCCTGTCAGTCACACACCAATTCACCCCTATTTTTTCTCCCCTTCTGGAATCACAAGAACTACCCACCTGTCCTCAAATATCATCACAAACCATAGTGAAAGGAATTCAGAAACTGGAAACAACAGGTTGTAATTCAAGTTCTACTCATTATTTTATTTATTCAACAATATTTATTGTATTATCTACCATATGCCAGTGACCTTCTGAGGCACCAAGGATAAAGGAAACAAAGGTCTTGGGCGCTCGTCTGTAAACAAATAACTTGTAGCGATAAATGCTAAGAAGAAAAATGACGGAGAGCGAGGGAACGGAGAGGGACTGGAATGTGTTATTCCGTATCATCTCTGTAATGAAGGGATACTTCAGCCGAGATCTGGACAAAGCGAGGGACAGAGCCATAATGATACCCAGGGGACAAGTGTCTCAGGCTGAAGGAATGAGAAGCAGCAGATGCTTCAGAGTGTTCAAAGAAGCAAGGAGGCTAATGTGGCTGGAACAGAGAGAGCCTGGGGTAGAATGATACAAGATGACATCAGAATGGGAGTTGGGCCGGATCACACAGGCCTGGTAAGCCACCGAAGTGTCATCTACGCACGATGGGAAGCCTCTGGAGATTGTGAAAAGGGTTTGACATTAATCTGCTTTACATTCTAAAAGGATTACTCTGGTTGCTGCATGAAAACAGACTTCCAGTGTGGGGAGAGGGGAGAAGCAAGTACACCACCAGAGCCCAGGGAAATGCTGTGACGGCGGCACTAGGAGGATTGCAACGGTGACAGCGACAGGTCTGGACTCAGGATGTGTTTGTAAAGTGAAGCCAACAAGATCACCTGATGGATTCAATGTGGTTATGACAGAAAGTCAATGGTGACGCCATGGTTTCTGACCTAGGAAAGGGGGTGAGTGGAGGTTATGTTTTAAGACTTAAAAACCCTTAATAAAAACATTATCTAATTCAGCTGTTCAGAAATAGCATAAGCCTTACTAACAAAAAACTGAAAAATCAGAAGTAGAGTTACAGGCAGTCACCAGCTTATGAACAAATACCATTCCGAAGTCTGTCTTTAAATCGAATTTGTACGTAAGTCGGAACAGTTAGGTACGGTCTGTATCTAACGTCAGTTAGCTAAACGTTTGTTAGTATATAGTGTGCCTTTCTATCCATAAAAACATTAAAGAAACATGTCCAGATGCACTAAAACATCTTCAACATAATAATACAGTAACAATAACAATAAGGTTTTGATGTATGTGGCAAAGTAGCACCTGTTTATTATTACGAACAATCGTATGTACCTTGAAGTTTTAACATAACAGCCGTTATGGAGGCTGGCTTGTAACTACGGGCCACACGTAAGTCAGATGTTTGTAACCCAGGGACCGACTGGCTTGCTGCTTCTACTCACCATTTGCAGACTGTATCATGTTTCCAGATTTTTGGACTTCATCAAATTTTGTAAAAATTACATTCAACCTATATGAAAGCAAAAACATAAAAACTATTAACCATCACCATTTATGATAATATTAAAATACTGATGTGAAGTTGAGTCATCTCCTCAAAAAAAAAAAAAAATTCAATGATACAAACACACTTAGTAACAAGAGTAGCTATACCAATACCACTGACAATAACCAGCGATAACCAGGTACTCACCACGGGCCAAGCGCTGTTCTAAGCACTCATCTGAAAGATCTCACTTAATCCTCACAAGAGCTTTGAGGATAAGGAAATCAAAACCCAGTAACTGGTGATCCAGTTAACAGGGAGGACATGCCAGCCTTGACAGCTGGAATCCAGAGTCTATGCTCTTAGACATTCAACTGAGTGCCTTATACAAGAGATACATACTGTGAAAATATGTATTTCTCCCATTTCTTTCTAAGTACACACTGGCAATTACTCAGCATAAAGCTTTTTAAAACGCACTAATACTGTAATACAAAGGCTTTTCTGTGACTTACGGTTAATTCAGAAATGCTGTAATTTCTCTAGAAACAGGTGTTTTGGCTTCAGCTTGAAAAAAAACTCCTTGACATTTATTTTTTACTAACGGCTCATTTTTACCTTGGCATTTAAATTGAAGCAAAACTCCTTTATCAGTCAAAATATTCCATCCCAATGACACCAAAAATGAGAGGAAAAGGTGTGGGGGCGGGGGGGGGG